GCAGAAGGATTTGCCCTACTGCATCTTCCCTTCCTTTGGAAAAGGGAGACCCTCCTTCAGGTCGTCCATCTACACACACAGTCAATGCAAGGTATGTGATTCAGCCATCTGTTTCTTTAGCCAGGATGTTTTGATGGTAGAAAATGACAGCAAGTGGCAGAGCAGGGTGAGGGGTCAGCTGGGGGCTGTTACTGTCAGAGTGGACATCACTCAGGATGTCTAAATTAATGATGGTGGACTCTGTGGATCAGATTTAGAAAGCATCTCCTCTCATAAAGGGAAAGGACACAAATTAGATCTAACTTCCCTCCAAGGTACATATCAGGATACCCACCATTCTCCCTTTCCTCTTGCTGAATGGCATTGTACAGAGCATAAAACCCTGTGTTGGTGATCATGGCATCACTTCTGAACACCACAGTCATGATGTTTGAAGAGGAGAGGAACGTGAGCTCTGTCCCAGCACAAAATCTGCCCATGGAGAGTGAGGCAACTAGCCGTCCATCGAACACTTCAATAAAGTCATAAGGGCACCCATAGATGTCCTCTAACCTGAGGAGGTAAAGGCACAGTAAATCTCCCCGAGGAAATCTGCAGAAATGCCTTAAATAAAATCATCATTTGCATCGAATCCAGCCAGAAACTGCAATCATCGCTGTTGCCTCCTTCCAGCCACGCGTCCTGCTCGTGGCCTTGACCCCTTACATGTTGCCTGAATTTGCCCTTCTGTGCTTCCCTCCGGGCACTGGCCCCGGTGAGTCAGCCTTTCTCTGTGTCTCACCCGCTCTAATTCAGCGGCCCCCTTCTGGTCTCTTGGCTTTTGGTCTTTCCCACCATCTTCCTCTCCACCCTGAGTGTATCTAGAATGTCCCCTGACTCTTCATTCAAACTCTGCTACTCCCTGGGGTGGGGGCAAGCATCCATTAGGGTCTCATTGAGTAAAACACTCAATGGGATCTGGAGCAGGGAGAAATGGTGCCTTCTGTCAAAACTCCCAGGGCTTGCTGAGTAGGACTCTTCCTTCCCATGCCCCAAACTGCCTGGTTCCAACCTGGATGATCAGAGAAGCTGTCCCTGACCATCCTACCAAACGCTGTCCTCACCCACTCCGTTCTCTATCCTATTACCATATGTGTATAAATATTTTTCTTCATAGCACATATCAACTTATCACTAATGAAAAATATCCATTGAGTTACTGGTTTATTCAAGTACTATTTGCCTCTCCAACTAGAATGTAAACTCCATGAGGACAGAGATCTCTCTGTCTTGTTTGGCACCAGAAGTCCATTCCTAGACCAGGGCCTGCACAGAAAGTGGGCTCAATAAATATACTTTAAAGAATATCAACATTATTGGGGCTGTGGGAATGCAAGCTGATGCAGCCACTCTGGAAAACAGTATGGAGGTTCCTCAAAAAGTTTAAAATAGAGCTACCCTACTTCCCAGCAATTGCACTACTGGGTATTTACCCCAAAGATACAAATGTAGTGATCCGAAGGGACACATGCACCCCATTGTTTATAGCAGCAATGTCCACAATAGCCAAACTATGGAAAGGGCTTAGATGTCCATCAACAGATGAAATGGATAAAGAAGAGGTGGTATATATATACAATGGACTATTATGCAGCCATCAAAAAATGAAATCTTGTCATTTGCAACGACATGGATGGAACTAGAGGGTATTATGCTAAGCGAAATAACTCAATCAAAGAAAGATAAGTATCATATGATCTCACTGATATGAGGATTTTTGAGAAACAAGATAGAGGATCATAGGTGAAGGGAGGGAAAAATGAAACAAGACAAAACCAGAGAGGGAGACAAACCATAAGAGACTCTTAATCTCAGGAAACAAACTGAGGGTTGCTGGAGTGGAGGGGGGTGGGAGGGATGGGGTGGCTGGGTGATGGACATTGGGGAGGGTACGTGCTATGGTGAGCGCTGTGAATTGTGTAAGACTGATGAATCACAGGCCTGTACCCCCGAAACTAATAATACATTATATGTTAATAAAAAAAAAAAGAATATCAGCATTAATCTAACATGATAAAAATAGGAGGTATGCACGTTGGCATTTAAACAAGAGTAAGTGGCCCTTGAAGGAATGCACTGTAAGTGCTCATTGTGTCATACGTACATAATAGACATAATTACTCTTGTGCATGTGTACAAATTTACAGAATTTGAAAATCTGTTTATTACAGAACACATCTGTTACAATGAAGTAAGAGCCAAGTACCTCAAAACAACCCTTTTTTTTTTTTTGTGAGAGAGAGAGAGAGAGCGCTAGTGGGGGGAAGGGGCAAAGGCAGAGGGGGAGAGAGAATTCCAAGCAGACTCCCCGCTGAGCATGGAGCCCAATGCAGGGCTTGATCTCAGGATCCTGAGATCACGACCTGAGTTGAAATCAAGAATCAGATGCTCAACTGACTGAGCCACCCAGGTGTCCCACAACCTATTTTTTTTTTTTTTACTGTGCACCTTTTTATTTTTGTAGTATAACTTTAACTTTTTTTTATTCTTATGCTAATCCCCATACATCATTAGTTTTAGATGAAGTGTTCCATGATTCATTGTTTGTGCATAACACCCAGTGCTCCATGCAGAATGTGCCCTCCTCAATACCCACCACCAGGCTAACCCATCCTCCCACCTCCCTCCCCTCTAGAACCCTGTTTGTTTTTCAGAGTCCATCGTCTCTCATGGTTCGTCTACCCCTCCGATTTCCCCCGCTTCATTCTTCCCCTCCCGCTACCTTCTTCTTTTTTTTCCTTAACATATATTGCATTATTTGTTTCAGAGGTACAGATCTGAGATTCAACAGTCTTGCACAATTCACAGCGCTTACCAGAGCACATACCCTCCCCAGTGTCTATTACCCAGTCACCCCATCCCTCCCACCCCACCCCCCACTCCAACAACACTCAGTTCCACAACCTATTTTTAAAGTAAGAAAAAAAAAGATTACATTTATCTATAGTGTGACTGTAACAGGGGACACTGCCATCTGAGAAATCATTTCATTGGAAAACAGGACCCCCTTGACTTAGCAAAAATGAAATAGCATATTTCAAATATGGATATAATTTTTGCAGATCAAGTGTGAAGGGAGTTTCCAAAGAAGCTGAAATAGAAAGAAAACCCCCCAAAAGAAGCAAGCTTCAAGCAGGGGTTCTCAGTCTCAGTGCTATCCACATTTGGGGCTGGAGAATTCTTTGCTGTGGGGGGCTGTCCTGGGAACCATAGGACACTTAGCCGTGTTCCTGGCCTCCACCCGCTATGGGACAGTGGTACTCCACGCCCCCAACTGGACATAAAAAGTGCCTCCAGGCATAGCCAAGTGTCCTGTGGGGTCTGTCATTGCCAGCTGAGCCTCCTTGGGGCAAAATAATTAACTTCATGTTCTGAGACACAAAAGGCAAATTATCAATAAATCTAGACTTAAAAACATCAAAACCTGGAAGTCAGGAACTAAGCTCTGGCTGTAGGCAACTCAGGAAGCAGCTCCTTGACTTGTATACTCTGAAATTATAGTAGGAAATTTATGTTGGGACAGTCACCTTGAGATTGCAGGGAGAGTGGGTCAGTACAGCTGTTTGGAGTAACCATCTTCCAGAAGTGATAAAACGACACCCTGTGCCCCCAAATCATAGAACTGTGACTTTCATAGATTTGAATATGTCGTACCAAATCTGCTCACCTTGGTTTCAGTGAATGCATGGGTGTGGAATGAATTAATGAATGAAAAATACATTTTGCTCACAATATACAATGTTGCCTGATACTAGTTTCTCTTCTCCCCATTTGAGAGGAATTTGGGCCATCAGGTAAAATTAATCAGATCCATCCCTCACTCCACTGCTGGCCCATTTCCCCTTTGAAGACAGCATTTAACCATTCAGCTCCTTGATTCCCAAAACTGATGAACACGGGTAGAAACAGTGGTGGAGGTCTGGCACAGACTGTGAACAATGTCAGGAAGAGAGAACGACCCAGATGGGACCCGGTGTAGAAAGATGAAACCAGGTTAAACATTATCAGGAAAAGCAATTATTTTCATTAAAAAGTGACTCTGGTATATGTATATGTATATATAAATATGTATGCATATAAATATGCATTAAAATAGGATAAATTCCTTTAAAAATGAGTATGGGCGGAGAAAGAAGTAGGAATGAATGAATGGAGCTGTTTTATCTGTGGAAGAAAACTCTTGTAGGGGCATGAGAGACATTCTTGGAGGGAAGAGGAAGCAGACTTATTTTGTGCAGCATCAGAGGGAAGAATGAAGCTGAGAAAATGGGAATGAAGAAGAACCCGTTTGGGTTCAGCCCAAGGAAGATGCAATGTCCCCGATGTAGCTGGCTGAGAGTGGAGGGGGGAGGCTTTCTTGTGTGTGACCCTAGCTGAGGCCCCCTTGGTGGCCTGGTGTTAGGGATGCTCATGGGGTATTTGGGATATTCTCCAACTGCATAGGAAGTTGAGCTCAATGATTCTACATCTCCCAAGCTCAGATGACCAGACGAATTTTCACCTACAATGTGAAAGGATGTGTCACTCGGTGCTGAAGGCTGAAAGTTTGTGTCTTCTCAAAACTCATATGTTGAAACCTAACCCCCAACAGGATGGTATTAGAAGGTGGGACTTTTGGGAAGAGATTAAGCTATGAGGGCAGAACCTTCACCACAGGATTAATGGCCTTACAAAGATTCCTGAAAAAGCTCCCTTGTCTCTTCTATCAGGTAAGACTATTGTGAAAATATGACCACCTCTGAGCCAGGAAGCAGGCCCTCACCAGACCCTGAATCTTGATCTCGGACTTTCCAGCCCCCAGGACTGTGAGAAATAAATTTCTGTTGTTTATGAAGCTACCCAGTTTGTGATATTTTTGTTACAGCTGCCAAGTTGACTAGGTACGTGGAAAGGCCACCTCCTTGAGGAAAGTGTGGATTCCAGTCTAATCTGGCCTCTGAAGTAGAAAAAGGCAAAGCTGCTTACTTCAGGCTTGGGATCGCCAGTTCTATGTGGAACTTCTCAGCCACATGTATCACCCAGATACACTCCACGTCAGTGGGGTAGTTCGTTGGATACCAAGGACTGGAGAAGGAGCCCAAGAGGCTTGAAATTACTCCCCCACAAGAGTTACTTCTTCCTGTGGGCAGACAAGAGACCACTGGTTGGTTTCTTCAGGCATGTACCTTGTCTTTTCCTAGGAGTAGAATCCAGAATTCCATCAAGCTCAACAGGGAATCACAAAATGGGAAGGGATCATGGTGGTTTAGGCATCATTGTAGCTTGGCTGGTGTGTGATTGTACCCCTGAGAGGGAATGAGGGGGAAGAAAAGATGTGTGACTGGTACCAGGGTGGGACCCTAAGATTGTAGGCAAGAGTGGAAATGGGATGGGACATATATGTGACAGGTGTGGGGTGTCTAGTTGATATCTCATTAATGCTCTGCCCAGCTTCCTGTCATGCAAACCAGCTCAATTCAGATGTAGACGATCCATCCATCTGTGAGGGCTCCACCCCACCAATTCCTTCCCCTCAGGCAGCCAGGACAGGCAGATATCTATTCTGCTTTTATGAATTATCAGAGTGATTCCACCCTTTACAGGTTATACTTTCAATGAAAGAGAGTTACCTTGTGGCGTAGGCCCACCTTGCGGTGTAGGCCCTTGAGGGATGGGACCTGCAAAAACTGAAACCAAAGAAAATCAGGAAAGAGCTCAGCATTGCAAAAGCATCGTATAGTTACATACAAATGAATGAACCTGTTACTACCCTTGAGTCTTGCTACGTGGTGTGGGCTCCCTCATTTCTCTTTTCTCTCCTAATGTGGGATGTGGTCTCTCCCCTTCTTTCAGTGTTTCACCAAGAAATCACAGACAACGCACAGCTACGTGACTTGTTTCTCTTCTGCCTTAGGATCCACCAGCCCCAGGCCTATCCTGAGATCGATCAGTCACGAGGCATCACCCACAGTAACATCACTGCGCTTATGAGCGCACACCACTGCAGAGCATGCAGAAAGGCATAGGGACAAGGGACAAACACCAGACAGCCGAGAGCCTGGGTGGGAAAGGCAGGTGGGACAAGCGTTCCATTGGGATCGACGGGCCCCAGTGGGGAGCTTCCTCCTTTCCTGTGTCCTTTCGCCTTTGATTTCTGTGAGGCATATATTTCTATATTCTAGATGTATCCTTAGGCACCATTGCCTGGCAGGTCAAGGGCAGGGCAGGTTTTGAAAGCCTGTCCAATGGAAAGCTGGTGCTTGTCAGAGTTTCACACCAGGGATTCGTGGGCATGGAGTTTGAAGCAAATGGGTCAGATGCATTCGAGAAATCCTTTGTCTCCATGGTCCTTCTCCTTGGGCGGCATTGCCACAAACCGCTGAGCAGTGAGAGCCTATGGCACCTGGGCCTCTCAGTCCTTCTCCAGGAAGGGTGCTGGACAGCCGCAGAGTAAGTTTTTTCTGACCTCAAGTTGTCTCAGAAGCAATTCCCTTTTGGGGCGCTGGGTGGTGCAGTCGGTCAAGCAGCTGACCCTTGGTTTTGGCTCAGGTAGGGATCTCAGGGTTGCGATCTCCGGGTGGTGAGATCAAGCCCCACGTCTGGCTCCATGTTCAGCGAGGAGTCAGCTTATGATTCTCCCTCCCTCTCCCTCTGCCCCTCCACCCCCTCATACTCTCTCTCCCTCTCTCTCTCTCAAATAAATAAATAAAGCTTTAAAAAAAAGAAGCAATTCCCTTTTGTTAAAATGTTTGAGATGCAGTGTTTCCCTGGGAGAATTAAATGGCAAAAGCCTTATTTTGTGTGTGTGTCCCTGCAAATATATAATGCTTTATTGAGAAGTCGTTCACCTACTGGTGGATAGTATTTAGACATAAAAGGTTTCATTTTTCCCCCTAGTGTCTTTTATTCCATGATGCATTCTCTTATTCACTCAGGTATGCATCTGTGCCTCAGAAAAGAAATATTGTAGCAGAGAGAAAAGAGAAAAGCCTTCTGAGGTTTGCAACCCTAGATCGCAAGTGGGACTTGGCACAGAGCTGTCTGATGAACTGAAAGCCATGTCCTCTCTTCTTCCTCCTCCTCTCCGGCTCTAGGCTAGGGGAGATTACTCACTGGGGAAGAAAGGAAAAGCCAGAGGGCACCAAAGGGAGCTAGCTGCTTGTCAGTCCCCGAGAAATGGTTCTGTGAGCTCTGCCTCCCCTCCACGGCTGCTGCATGCTTTGTTGGTCCCAATGCAAAATGAAAATGTGGGGCCTCAGCTGGAGGTGGGGAAGTCAATCGCCCTTTCCCATAGGTTCACTTCTGCATCCTACATGAGATGGGCAGTCTCCAGGGGATGGCGACCTCAACCTGGGAGCCCTTGGGATCTGGACTAGAGTGGGTAAGAGACCCCGCCCCCACCAAGTGTCCTTCTAAATGTGCCAAGGTGGTGCCAGCCCCAGGTAGGGAGAGGCTGCTGGCCACCTTGCCTAGCCCCCAAACACTACAGGGTACTCCTCAACCTTGACCTTCCCCACACCCAGGCCCCCGGTGAAGGCAGAGGGTGGAGGTAATCACTGCGCAGGGTTGGGAAGGAGGCCGGGTGGGGCCCAGGGTGCCAGCAGGCAGGGAAGTGGGCAGCTGAGAGCCTGTCCAGAAGAGGTAGGCAGCTGCAGGAGGCAGGACCACACGTGCTCAGATATCACTGGAGTCTTGAGTTTGGAGGTCACTGCCACCCACTGACTCTGAGTCGGTTACCAGAACGATGTGTACCCTTTCTCTATTCCTGCGTGGTTGGCAAAGTCCGAAGCCTCCCAGAGTAGCTCCAAATGGCTTTACTTCTCACGCTCAGCCTGTTCTTCACCCACTGGGAGAGTGTGGCATGGACTCATCTGTGTTTTCTCCCACACTTTCAATTTCCAACTCATGTTCCTGGGAAGCAAACCTTCCTACCTTCTCTCCTCCCCATCTTGACCTTCTTCTCAGCCATAGTGATGGAACTTCTTGCCCCTTTCCCCTCTTGCCCTTCCTTGCTCTGCTGTCCAGAGGGGAGTTTTGGCTGCCATCTCATTCGGGAAATGTGGCTGGTTCTCAGCTTGCTACACGTTGGAATCACATGGGAGGCTTTAAGTATTACTGATGACCTGGTTGGTGTGAGCCCCGAGATTCTGATGTGACTGGTCTGGGTGCAGCCTGGGCATTGGGAATTTCAAAACTCCCTTGGGAGATCAGTGCCTAGGTCACTGTCCACCAGTGTCTAGGTCAAGACAGATTAGATTTCTTATTCACTTTGCAGAGATATTAGAAGTTCACAGTATTGGACCTACCTGGGGATGTAGGGGTCACATCTGGAGCCCAGGCCCCGGCATCTGCATGAATTAAAAAAAAAAAAGGTAAATTTAGGAAATCTAAGTTACATTTTATGAAGACAAGTGGTGGTTTCCTACTGTGAGCAGGTCTCAAGCAGGCAAGTTTCATGTGACATAAACAAGAACAAGGACACGTTAGGATCTGGAAAAGGAGCTCGGACCCAGGAAAGGTTGCAGAGAGAAGGACCTGGCAATCGCATGGCTCTGCATACATTTCTTTAGAGTGGAGTCAGGCTCTCAGCATTCTTTGTCAATCTGGCTGAGGGGACGTTCTTGTGGGGCCACCGTTCTCGGCTCCCCTGGCCCTGCTCTGTGCACACCCTCCATCATCACTCACATTCTGCTGGTCCAAAGGTCAGAAAGAACCTGCCATGGGAGGAGAGGCTACCTGAGCAGATGACACCTGCATCCTCATGGTGGCCACAATTGTGGTCCAACCAGCCGGAGCTAGGGCACTGGCCAAGGTGGTTCTCGCTTCCTGAACACTGAATGTTATCCAGGAGGATGTTTCCGGAGCCGGGGCCAAAGTGAGCCTTTCCAGGGGCTGCAACGGCTCGTCCGCACCCCAGCTGTTGGCACACCACCTGGGCTTCATTCAGGTCCCAGAGGTCATCGCACACGGTGCCCCAGGCCCCCTGGTGGAGGACCTCCACGCGTCCTGAGCACCGTCCAGATCCGCCCACCAGCCGCAGCTGGGGTCCATCTTCTAAATAGAGCAGGGTTTTAGTTTTGAGCTTAGGAAGTTTTAAGTAGGAAGGATTTCAAACTCCTGCATTTGTGTCTAAGGCAAATAAAGGCAAGAACAAAGCCTAAGGCCATCTTGATTCAGTAACGGGTCTTGCTGTGTGGGTCTCTTGACACAATACTGGGGTCCTGGGGGAAGGGGTCCACAACTCTGTTTTTGAACATGACTTGGGTAAGTGTAGATTTAATCCCCTGAAGGACTTGGGACACCAGGGTGTCTATGACTTCTTAAAGCCCAATGGGGATGGCTATTTCTGGGCCGATGGGCGTTGGCCACCTGGAATGGCATGCTGTCTCCTGGAGACCTTCCCTTACTGAGTTCACAAGTTCTGCCACACTCACCTTGGTTTCTGTTTCTCTAGCGTGTCCCCAAGAGCCTTTGTATTTGCTGTTCTCTCTGCCTGGAATGCCCCTTCATTGTCACCCATCACATGTCCCCGAGCAAGGTCTTCTATTCCCACTCAAGCCGCAGGAGCACCCTCCCCACCCAGGCATTCTCTTCTGTCCCCCAGGCTGTCTTCCCAGGCACTACCACTACCCCCAAATCATCTTGTCATTTCAGCCTCACATCACTGCCTGATTTCAATTGCCCATGTGATGCTCTTAGTGGGAAAATCTAACAGCGACACAGCAGGGCTTATGGGGCCAGTTGTGGGGTGTTTTAAAAACTGAATCCCAGGCCTTTGCGAATAGAGGAGTCTCTCAAGATAGAAAACTGTTCTGTCTTTTAAAGACCTGAAGCTTCCTACCTGACTCCCCTTCGCCCTGTGGAATTGCGTTGAACAGAGCATAAAAGCCAGTGTTGGTGATCATAGAATCACTTCGGAACACCACGGTCATGATGTCTGAGGAGGAGAAAAATATCACAGCTGTTGAGGCACAGAACTTCCCCATGAACAGCGAGGCAATCCTGGGGCCATCGAAGATTTCAACGGAGTCGTAGGGGCATCCAAGGATATCCTCCAGGCTGGGGGCATTGAAGTGGAGGGTTAGAATGGCAGGTTCAAGCTTCCTAGATCTTAAAACTTAAAAAAGTATGACAATCATAGGATTAAATATTTGGATTTACTTTAAACTGCATATTGACATATAAAGTATCAGTTAACTTCTACAGATGTCTTATTCCAGAAGTCTTATTCTGTCTGAGGGTTGTGGGAGGCTTATGGTTACAACTTAGGAACAGAAAACCAAAAATTATAATGGCTCTGGCCAATCACCATCTACACGGAACATTAGAAATGCTAGTGTACATTGCAAATAAATCCTTCCCAGGCCAACCCCCCAATGATCATCATGTAATCAACATCACACCCAGATTTTCCTATCTCTATATTTCACAACATTTTCCACACTCAAATTCTTGGGGAGAAAAAGATTGATTTTAAAATAAAAATGTCAGCATGTAGAGAGTATCTGCACTTTGGCAGTCACTCGTGAGGGATGTGTGTGAGGCCGATTTTGAAGGAACAGATTACCTATGATAAGAAGGACTTTGGAAGTGTGGGTTCAAGGTTCTCACTTCCTTGTGGGCTCTCTGTGTCCTTAGGGTTTTAGTCAACAAAGACAATAGGTTTCTAGGATATTCTTTGGCACAGGGTGTGCCTGACTCCATGGACCGAACAGTAATTCAGTGTATGCTAAAGGTGGATTTTCATAGCATCTCATAGTGTTGCTGTGTTTGTAGCAAGCTGAGTGTCATATACAAGAAGGGCTTTGCGCAGACTCTGCCCACAGAATCACAAGTTGGAGAAGAGGTGGAGCTTTGACAGCAGACAGACCTAGCTGGTTAGCCTTGGGCAAGTCAGTTAACATCTCTGAGCCTCAGGTTCTCATCTCTAACGGAGATGACGGGGGCATATACCTTCGGGCTGTAGTGATGCTAGAATATTACAAAGCATACAAAACACATAGTACAGAGCATGGATACACAGCCAGCATTAAAAAAATGTCAGTTATTATTTCATGCCATGGAGATAAAAAATGTCAGTGCCTTAGAGAAATGTATCCCCTACATGCCAGAGATAAGGCATGTCTGCCCTGGCTCCTTTCACTTGGAGGCTGCACTGAGAAGATCCAGGGCCTGGGGCTGGAGTAGGTGGCTCGTGGGTGTGTATGAAAGCCTTCTACTGATTGTTTAAAGTTTAAATAAAGGAAAGAGAAAATCTAAGAGGATAAGTATTGGTACCCATTGTATAACAAGGGCCAAGCTGGTAAGGAGGATTTGGGTGACATTCTTAGAAAAAAATTAAAAGAAAAGCTATTATCATAAGGTTGAGTTAAATATGTCAATAAACCACTTATTCAATTTTTCAAACTAGAAGCAACTTGTTGGATAGCGCTACAAAATTAATTTGATCTTCAAATTGGGAAGAATTTCGTGTTCTTCTGTCCCCCCCGCCAAATGTTTCCCACTAAAAGAAATATATTTATTCTGAATTCACATTTAGAAAGAATCTTCTCTGAAAAAGTCGTTTTCTTACTTCAAAGTTGGAATCATGAGTTCTATGCGGAATTTTTTATCCACATGAATCTCCCAAACACACTGGATGTCCGTCGGGTAGCTTTCCGGGTACAGTGGACTGGAAAAGGATCCAGAGAGACTTGACAAGACCCCTCCGCAGGCGCTACTTCCCCCTAAAGCCAGAGGAAAAAGGATGTCAGCATGTGCCCTGAGGCACCAGCTATGGGACCCCAGTCATGACCCTCTCACACCTGGTGGTCTGGTGGAGTCAGGCAGTGGTCCACCCGGGGTGCGGGGGGCACACCCAGGTGTCTGGACAGACTTTTAGCCTAAACGTCTCCAGGGAAGGAGGGCCCATTCAATCTCATCCTGATGGGGCAAAAATATTAAAATATGGGAGTTCTCTGCCTTTTCCTCTCCCCTTACCCTCTGCCAAAGAAAATATTGTATTTGTCAGGTCTGTTCACTATCTCCTCCTTCTTCTAAGGCAGAAGGATTCTTGCTTGTGGGGAAAGAGGCAGAGAGGATCTACACGGGGGGTTGGGGAGGAGGGACGAAGGGACAGATTCTATTGAGCCTGGGCATGGTGCGAGTTTGGGAAGGTTTGGGGAACAAGAAGCTCCAGAACAACTTTGGGGTCTGAGGAGCCAAAGAGAAGGGGACGATGTGGCCTTCATTGAAGGGGACTATGACTGGCCACCCCCTTAAGTTCTTTTTCACCACCTTTTCTGGGTAGATTGTGTTTTCTTTAACTCAGTATCTATTGAGACTGGAACTTACAGGTCTTTGGATTTATAAGAGTTACACAAGTGAAATCTAATTTCTTCTGTATTGTATTTTACGTCATATTCATATAAATCAATACACATGCCTATGTACACACGTGCACATACACTTAAAGCAGCATGCCGTGCAAAAAAGCAAAAATCTTAGAATCATCGAATTATTTTAGAGGAAACTTGAAAACATAACATGAGTTGTTGACCCTGTCCCCTAAATTACCAAGCTGCTTAATTTGCTCCTTCCTGTTTTTGCCTAACTAACTGGTAATGCTCCCAGAATTCCAAGATTCTTGGTCTTTCCTACGATAGATGGCGGGAAGTAGGGACACGCCCAGTCATCTCGGAGCTATCCTGTTGGCCGTGTTGTAGTTACAACTGGGCCAGGTCAGACAGACACGAGAACCCTGGGATGGGTTTCTTGAAACCTCTACACATGAGTGGGGACCCATCATGGGTGCCCCCTGCAGGACCGTACCCGGAGAAGGCAGGCTGGGTACCACCAGGTGTGACCAGCCACAGTCTCTGTCACCCTCCCACCTACTCTGACCTGGGCAGATCCACATACCCCCTTCCCAGCCTGTCCCTTTGGCTAGCAAGTCAGTATTTACAGGCCTTAGCAGTGCGAATGGATGCCCCTTGACCGAGGGGCTGTGTCGGCTGAGGTCCTGACTCCCCTGGCGTTCTCAAGGAAGGGGCCATGACAGGACTGGCCTGGGAGGTGGGCAAGCAGCCCCTCAGCCGTGTCGTGCCAGCCTCTCTGTGCCACATCCTGGGCACACTGCCTAGCATCTGCTGTGACGGTTCTCTCGGTGTGGAGTTACATCTCAATTTAAAACAAGTGACTACCTGTTATATAATCCCGAGAAGCTGTGGAAAGACCTAGAAGGGGGAAAAAAAAGGGAGGTCATGCTGACATCCAGGGGAAAAATACTGCATTTCATCTACAAGTTAGTGAAACGTGAAGGGGTTTCTCTGAAGTGTCAAGGTACTTAGTGCCATCTGAGAAAGGTCTGAAGGTGCTGAGTGAACATTTCTACTGTCCTGTGGCAGATTAAAGAAGGCCACACATTCTTGGACATGCCTCCTGTCACGAAGTGGGATCTACGTCTCCTTGCTTGAACCTGGGTGGCCTCTGTTTTGGCCAACAGAATATGGTGGAAGTGACACTGTGCTTTAAGAGACCGAAGCTTCCACTTCTTGTCTCTGGGAACACGGGCTTGTCTGTGGCACCCTGAGCCACCTTGCAAGGAGTCTGATTAGTCTGCTGCAGGAGAGACCGTGTGAGGAGTCCTGAGACCACCTGGAGAGGAAGAGGGCCCTGGCTGAGCCCACCCTTCCAGCAGTCTCCTCCAAGCACAGAGCATGTGAGTGCAGCTGTCCTCAAGTCTCAGGACCACCCTGTAGGTGAGCTCCACCGAGTGACCCTGCTCAGAGCTACGTGGAACAGAAGAATCTCCTATCCCAGCCCTGCCCAAATTCCTGACCCACAACAACGTAACATGTCATTAAATGGCTGTGGTGTTAAACCACTCTGTTTTTGGAGTAGCAACACATAACCAGGATGGTTTCTTCCACTCAACATGGTCCTCCTCATTTCCCTGTCATCTATGTAAGCTTCAGTATAGCTGAGTTATATAAAATGAGAACTACAGGTAGGCCTTCATTTGAATATCCACTGCCCTTGACCTCTATCCATGGCCTTGGAAATTTGGACAGTCCTCCCTCCCACTCATGATCCCACTTCTCTACGCAAGTGTCCAAGAGAGATGCTTCTGCCAATGACTTATGACTTGTGTATGTGGAGGCAGCCAGGTTCATTCAAAGGGCGAGATGGGGTCTGCAAAGTCCAGTTCTGCTACTTTCTTTCTTCTCTCTCTCTCCCTTTTCTGAAGATTTATTTATTCATTTACTTGAGAGAGAGAGAGAGGGAGAGCATGAACGAGTCGGGGGAGGGGCAGAAGGAGAGGGAGGGAGAATCTCCAGCACACTCCCCGCTGAGCGCAGAGCCTGACATGGGGCTCAATCCCATGACCTTCAGATCATAACCTGAGCCGAAATCAAGAGTTGGATGCTTAACTGACTGAACCATCCAGGTGCCCCTAGTTTTGCTACTTTCTAATTGAGTTATCTTGGGCAGGCTTTTGGATCTCCTTAATCCTCAGCTCTGAGGATGAGATAAATTTATTTATACAGAAACCCCAGCATCATGCCTGCTCCGGTGCAGATGCTCAGAAATGTCTATTGCAATGAAACAAAATGCCTTTTTGTTTACCTCCAGTATCATTTCAGAATTTACATTGCATGTGTTGGTCTGGTTTTTCTAATCTTTGGTTTTTATTACAGATGAATATCACTCAATCCTTAAATTAGAAAATCTCTGAAAATAGGCAAAAGTCATAAGATCCCCAAGAGCATGTACTTTGTGGGCAGACTGATCAGTGTCAGTACTCGGTTCCACCATTAACTTACTGAGTGATCTCAGGAAAGTTACTCAACCTTTCTGTGCCTCAAATTTCTCTTCTGTAAAATATAAAATGCCTTTTTGCAGGATTAGCAAGAGTCTGAGCAAAATGTCTCCCCGTCTTTGTGCTAATTTTACCTTGTCTTTGTGGAGCTGGGGTCAGTGAAAGGATGTGGTCAATGAGACTGGTGGCCAAGGGTTCAAATCCACTGGCTGGCCCTGGGTACATTACCCACTTTCTTTGCCTCAGTTCACCCATCTGGAAAAGTACTTGCTTCAATGCATTATTGTGGGGATTAAATGAGTTATATATGTGAGGGGCTCAGAACAGTGCCTGTTTCTTAGCATTTGCAAGTAAATTTGATATTATTATTATTGGAAAGTTGTCTGGACTAGAAAAAAATATGGACATACCTGGAGGTGTGGGAGGAGGCAGCTCTTCTGCATCTGAATGCAAAAAGAAAGGCAATAGGTCACTCTCTTTAGTGAATCCAAAGCATGGGGGAGGGGTAACGAGGGTGCAGGTGGCAGATCGAGGGGAAAGGGTGCAGGTGGGGAATAAGGGGAGAGGACCCTTGCCTTTGATCAGCCCTCCTCTGGCAGGGTCTCTGGCCTTGGGAGGGGTGGGACACAGCAGCTGGGTCATCTCTGCACCACCTCAGGCAGTGCAGGATTACCCATGGCCCCTCTTATGCTGAATCACCCAGACTACTTGTGAAAAGGCAGATTCCAGCAGCCCTGCCCAAATTAGTTAGTCGTGATCTCTGGGACTGAGGCCCAGGATTCTGCATCGCAATACCTCAGGTGGGGCTGGTGTGCACAAACATTCGAGACCTCCCGTGTGCAACCTGGCGCTGCCCAAGGGTGTGTGTGAGCCCAGGGCTTGGTGCAGAGCAGACGCTCAAGGATTGTTTTATGAAAGAATGAGCAAATGGGCAGATGGATAAATTCCATCTGGGATGCACAGTTTCAAAATGTCTTCAATAAAAACATTAGAGATTACTGCCCGAGAGGGGAGGGGCTACCTGAGCAGATGATGCCGGCATCCTCGTGGTGGCCACAGTTGTGCTCCGACCAGCCCGAGTGGGCACACTGGCCCAGGTGGAGCTCCACCCCAGAGCACTGCAGGTTGTCCAGGAAGATGTTTCCAGAGCCCGGGCCGAAGTGGGCCTTCCCCAGGGCGGACAGGGCCCGTCCGCACCCCAGCTGTCGGCACACGACCTCGGCTTCGTTCAGGTCCCAGAGGTCATCACACACGGTGCCCCAGGCCCCCTGGTGGAGGACCTCCACGCGTCCTGAGCACCGACCTGAGCCGCCTACCAGCCGCAGCTCTGGCCAGTCCCCTGCAGATAGAGACCCGGTGATCATTGTCTTCTAGAGACACTGCACATTGCCCATGAGCTGGTTGAGCTCTCCACCCTGACACTACTATTAGGGATGGGGAACTTGATAAAAGAGCCAGTCAACTGCTCAACCTCCTAGTTGGAGGTTAATATGCAATTAAGATTGTCAAAATAACTTTTAGCCTAAAGCATTCATTAATCGAGTACCTATTGGGCCAGAGGTATGTGCCAATCTATTTTAGCTAAATGCAGGCAAAAATTGTAAATAATATTCACAGTAATTTGTGGCTTTGTGGAATGCCTTTGTGTGTGTGTGCGTGTGTGTGCACGTGTATGTATTCATCTTCACCTTTGTAATAACTCAGGAGGCAAGCAGAAGAGCACCAGTATGCCAATTTTATCCATAAGGAGACTGAAAGTTGGAGAGGTGAAATGATTTACCCCAAATCCCACATCTGGGAAGTAGCAGATCTAAAGTCAGCACTTCCAGTTCCAAAGTTCAGTATTTTTCTCTGATATTCCATCTCACTGCCTCTGGAATGGCTTTGACGCTCTACTCACTTTGAAAAAGCCTATTAGTTATGCACATATAGGTTAACTATGAGCAAGACTGGCCAAATAAAAAAAAAGATAGAACCCCACTAAAGGCACTTGGAAGCTGCTCAGGGTTTGAAGACTGAAAAACACTGAAAAAATGAACTTTGCTCACCCTGGGATGCTAGAGCCAAAGGATCCCAAGAGTTTTGGATGGTCCTAAAAATGTGCATAGAGTCAACTGGCCCATTTTGCAAACAGAGGAACTACTTGCAGTTGGTCCAGTTCCTGCCCATGCAGCACGTACCAATGCAGGTACCAAGAGGAAAGGATAGTTGGTAAATGAATGAATGCATCCCAGGGCTTACCTGGTCTTGCTGTCACTGTCCTGGGTGTTGCTGTTGGGATTGCTGTGAATACAAGATGACACCCTTCAGATAAAAAGGGTCAAGATGGCTATATCCCTTAAACACCAAGATTCTGGTTGATTCATTCTCCCTAGCATCTTTATAATAAGTGACCTCCCAAGTCAAACTCTGTTTATGTTGCTCCTCATACGTGTAGGATCCAACAGAAAAAATATTCCCTTCTGTTCAGTCACTGGAAATATAATGACACTTAAATTGTGCCATCCTGTGCCAAAATGCAAACATGCATGGTGTCCTTCTAGGGAAAAAGCCATTTCTTCTGTTTTGTTAACTTTCCCTAAGTGTGCAGTGCTTGATTAGGTGTGTCTTACTGTTTTTGATAAAAGCAAGGAATTAAGAAGTCAAATTGGCAATTATCAATTTATAGAAACCCAATTATTGGTATATTTAACTTGGTTCCATGGTGAATGGTCATCATGCTTGTGCAAAACCTGGACTGACAGACCTCTCAGCTAGTTGGACTGATGCAGGAAATTAGGAAATGTGTAAGACAGAGATCGAACTATGACACTCCAAGCACCAGGAGGGCAGACAGAGGAAGACACACAAATGAGGAATGAAGATAGAGTAGCAACAGTAAATGCGACTCACTGATTAGATGTGGGGTCCTTGAACTTGCCTCTGCAATGACAAAGAAGCCTCGTCAGTAATTGTTCAATCGCAGTGACAGTGACTTCTTCTGATCCACTTTGTGACACAGAGTGCCTCCTCTGTGTTTCATAGCATACTTCCCAAGCGTGCTCACTGAGCTGCCCTGGCGCTCGCTAACAGGGTGGGAGACTAGTCTGAACAGCATCTCAGCCAAGGCGGAAGCTAGAACTGCTCATGAGGTCCATGAGGCAGCGTCTTTTCTCTCAGTGGTAAGCGTCTTTTCTCTCAGTGGTAAATAGTGCAGGACCCATGACTGGGTGACCTCGGAACAATTACGGAACCTCTCTAGCCTCAGCTTCCCCATCTGTAAAAAGGGAAGAACCATGGGTTCATGTGAGGATGAAAGGAGGTAACACGTATAAAGTGCTTACAGGGTTGCCTCGCATAAAATAGGCATTCGGTAAATGTTCGTTGCCACTTTGATCACTGTTGCTGTGATTACCCAACCTTGAGTACCTGTGCTTAATCAGAAACCCTTGGCTTAGCTTCTGTCTGCCTTCGCGTCTCGCCACATGTCCTGTACTTCCCATCTCTGTGCTCACACTGCTCCTTCACCTGTGTGCCCCCTCCCTATTTCTTGACTCACAGCCTGGCTAGGCTTAAAGACAAATCTAAGGCTGTTTCCTCCTATGTTCCCTTCATGTTTATAGCCCGCATGGCTCTTCCCCTTTTCTAATGTCTTTTGCTGAGATGCATGCATGTGTCAATTTAGTATATTCTAGTCTATTCTATTTGTTTGCCTTCATTTAGTATATTCTACTTGTCCTCTAATTGTATCACATGGGTTTGTCTTGAACTCCTTCCAGGTTGTACACGAGCCCCTCTTAGGCTGGGACCACACCTTCTTCTTCCTCTGTAGGTCCTAAAACACCCACCTAGTACTAGATTCAGTGTAACTCCAGAAGTGGCATCCTAATGGGCGGACTGTAATGAGGTATTTATGGGGAACCGGGCCCAGGGTTGAATCTGCCAAGTACTGAGCACATGATATACCATCACTGTGCAAGGGCTTGTGTCATTTCAGGTAAGCCCCACAACAAGCCTAGGAGGGACGCTTCTCTTATCCCCATTATACAGGGAATGGTTTGAGGCACAGAGAGGTCGAGTCTCTTATCCAGGGTCACAAAGTAAGCGATGGGGTTCTAACTGGCCCCAAGGCAGGCACTCCAGCTGCAGTTCCAAAGCTCCTGCTTTTAACCAGCATTCATACCTTTGGCTGCAGAATAATAATAAGCAACGAAGTTTTTCCCTATGTTGTTGAAGCTTCGGAAGTACACGAGGGTCAGTGAGCTGGAGGAGGACGAGTAGGTGAGGTAGGACCCAGAGCAGGTCTTCCCCAGGGACTTTGTTGAGGATGGAGGGCCGTCCAGGATTTCAAAATATTCATTGGTGCAATCTAGGCTAGGGAAGCAAAGACCAATGGCTGCCTCTTAGCCTCCCCATTAGCAGATCTTAGAGGTATGCTGTGAGGCAGACTCTTTCTTTCATGACAATGAAACTGGGGACAGATTAAAAGCCTGTCAGCCATTTAAACATAGTATAGAATCCTTTAATCCCACTTTTTCTTGAGGAGATGGGATCTTAACTGGAAGAGGGAATAGGCGGCTGAAGCACTAGGTGGACCCCTGCTGAGGTCTGGGACTGCAGGTACCTGGAAGCCCAGGGCCAACGGCCAGCAATGGCCTGCCTCTAAGACATGGCCTCAGGCTCCAAACAACCTATTTACGAACTCTGCAAGCGACCTGCCTAGAGGGAAGCGCGCTACCAAGTCTGCCCTGCTTGCTTTGTGCAAGTCATCTGATCTGTCAGCTCTTGTTCTTCATTGTGAAGTTTTGTCCAGATGCCCCCAGGGTTAGAGTCAGGAGACCATCTCCATGCCTCAGCCTGATGAGCCGTCCATTCTAAGTCATTTTTTGATTAAGCAAAATTCAAAAGTAATAAATAATTTAGGTTGCTCCTGGGAGTTAATTTCCATAAGACATTCATTTGTGAATGACATCAACCTTGACTATTTACAATATTAAAACCTAAAATTTCTTGATTTGTGAGGTCTGGGGGTTCCCTGAAATCTGCATCTTTAACCAGAGACTGAAACATACATTCTCACTCTCTCTCTCTCTCTCTCTCTCACACACACACACACACACACACACACACACAAGTGGATATGGAAAGTAGTGAAACAGAATAAGGTCTATGACCTAGCGCAGTATTGCATTACTTCCTGGTTTGATATTGTCCTACAGTTATAGACGATGCCACCATTGGGGGGAGCTGGGTGAAGGGTACATCGGACTCTATGTATTATTTTTGTAACTTCCTGTGTGTCTATGATTATTTCAAAATTCAAAATTAAAAAGGGCATGAAGGACTCATGGCACAGAAAAATGCTTCGAATTTTAAACTACACAGAATACTTAAATCATGCACTTGTGACTTACTTAAGATATGGAAATGCCAGCAATATGTGATCAGATGCATTAGCCTTGATTTCCCACACACAGGTTATGTTGTTATGCATTTCGTTCTGTGGGGGATTCCTAATAGCTCCAGATGAGTTGGTAATTACTCTGCCACACCTAGATTTTTCTAAAAGAAGAAAAATATTTTAGAATTTCAGTTTTTTTTCATTGTTCAGTTCACTAATTTTATATAATTCACACTTTCTTTCCCTTTCATTTTTTTTTTTCACCGAAAACGTCTCATTGGTCATTACCTTGTAGGTATGTCTTAGGACATATCAGAGGCATACACCAGTCTAAAAACTCACAAACTTAGGAGATTAGGGTATGAGAGTGTCTGAATTTTGAAACACCTCTCACTTGTTTAGAGAATTCTACCCTGACGTGGCCTTGCTGGGCAGAGCGGTTAGCCAGTATCAACCAGAGTCTTTCCCTCTGGTTGTTATTCCCTAGTGGTGGGTTCTGTAGGTTTGACTTTTGTGAGGCCACCAGTAGTAATGAGTAAATGGCTTCATTTTCCCAAGTAAAGCTGAGTCTACATGGAACCTCTATGTCTATGAAGATGTCAGCGTTCCATCTGCCATCTGTTATAATTTATTAAAATTACACTATTAAAAATCCACTACTAAGTGGAGAGAACTTGCCCTGAGTCATCTACCCCTCCAACACTGACATCATTCTGTGTCTGCCTGTTCACCACTTGTCCATTTGTTTTACCATCTGCTTGTCTGTGTATCCATATGCCCAATATTCAGTACAAAATTAAAGGTAACACCTAAGGCAATGGCTTTCTCCATCAGACTATCTGGCCATATGAGAATTGGACCTACACTCGATTGGCTCTGGTCATCTATCTGTGGCTCTTCCACAGAAGGACCAGCCAGGCTCTCCAGGCATCAGTATTATTTTAACGCTTTATCTCCAAGTGGTGCTAAGAAAAGTTTAGTGGAGCTTCTGGAAGCCCAAGATACAGACGAAAACAGAGGGGAAAAAATGGAAGATGCAAAGAAAGCATGAATAAGGAAGATAGAGATTGTCAGAGAAGGGAAAAGGGTGGAGAAGAAGAACATGGTCATTATGGCGGCAGCCCTCTGAAATGATGCTCTTGGGTAGCTCCATGGCAACACTGCCATGTTAAAAGCCACATGCCTGTCTTTCACATGTAGTGTCCATGCTGGAGACCAAGCATGCTGGTGTCACTTGATTATTTGGACTGCCTTTTTTGACTACATAGAAATGGAATTGGAACCATAAATTCATCTGCCTTCATTATTGGACTCTTCACTCAGAACACAGGTTCAGAGGGGTGACCCAGCCAGGGCAGTAGTATTTTGCTCAACTTCCTTGGAGAATCACTTCAGGGCTTGAGCTAGAAGATGGTGGTCAGAGCAGCCAAGGATATCAAAGTCTCACCTGTGGCCATTGTTCCTGCTATGACAGCCAGTGGGCGATCTGTCAAACACACAAAGGACATGTGGCTCGTCAGCTGGCTCTGAGGTCCCAACACTAGCTGCACATGATACCCTGAGGACCTCAGATCAAATACAGTGGGCCCCCCCCCCACCGAACTGCTGAGTCATCTCTGGGGGCAAGGCCAGAACATGTAGGGGACGTTAATGTGTGGGATGGAAGAAGCACTGATCTAGATCCTCTCCAGATTTTGATAAATTATCCTCTTGTCATACACACAAATGAGATATTTTTAAATTGGGGGTTTAAGAACACTAAAGACATGAAATTCTGCCAACTGTAGCCAATTCTAGTGACCCAAGGCCTGGGAGTTATGAGACTTCCAGGAAAGAATAGGAAGAGGTACCAATTTACCCCTTCCTTTGACCTGGTGTTGCTCAGAGATGGTGAGCCAACATCTAAGGATGCTGTGGATCCTCCTTCATGCCCCCTGCATATCTCCTACCAGTGACACCTGGCCCAGAACCTCCCACTAGAGACCCTTTCCTAGGACCAATCCATTCCCACCTGCTAGAGTTGACAACCCAGGAGGGAATATGCCTGAAGTTTTATCAGACCTTTTCTACTCAGCTTTATTCATGACTCACCCTCTGATCAAGAGCCCTGATCATCAGGGAACCTGGGGATTTGATGAAGGAGAGTGGGCACTGGCATGAAAACTCTGGGTGCTGGCATTAAGAGCATGTGGGAAAACCAATAGCAAAAGAAGTTCTGTGGGCACCAGGAACAAAGCAGAAGCAGGGAGAAGGTGGGAATGGTCACCTTGACTTTGGCCAGGTCCAGCCCACCAGCCATCTGCTCCTGGGCAAGAAATGTCCTTAACCACCTCTTATGTTTTAACCACCCCTTCTGTTGCCTTGTAACCCTCGGAGCTGGCAAACTGAAAGTGCTATATACAAGTCTGAGAAATTTAGAATCTGCTTCCTGTGTATAAAATGGGGGAGAAGTTGAAAGTGAGGTTGGATCAAATGATTTCTAAGGAACTATCCATTTCTCCCATTGGACAGTCAGGTGACACCACATGTCCCAGTCACTCCCCCGGCCTGCAGGATGACACATCCAACTTCCAGCAGCACTTCTTCCCCAAGATTTTGGGAAACTGCCCATGTAAATATCGCCTTCCTTACCCGGGGCTGAGACTGTTGAGTATTCAGCATTTGTAAGCATGAGGGATGAAAATATCTGCTGTGAGCAAGTAAAGTACTGATTCCTTTTCAACAGCTAGATTTACATTGTCTTTTGAAAGGTATTCTCTCAGAAAGAGCCGAGGCTGGGCTTTGCCTGGGAGGGCAGGGGTTTACCTGAACAGATCACGCCAGCATCTTCTCCGTGCCCACAATTGTGGGAAAACCAGCCGATGTGGGAGCACTCCTCCAGGTGCTGTTCATCTCCCCCACAGTGCACGTTGTCAAGGAGGATCTTCCCAGAGCCTTCCCCAAAGTGGGCCTCACCTGGGGCTAAAATGGCCCAGCCACACCCCAGCTGCCTGCAGATGATGTTTGCTTCTGGCAGGTCCCAGAGGTCATCACACACGGTCCCCCAGACTCCCTGGTAGAAGAGTTCCACACGGCCTGCGCATCTTCCATGGCCACCTACCAGCCGCACGGGGGCCCAGCCTCCTGGGGAAGAACCGTGGGTCACGGGGTGATCATCACTCACTCTGCCTTTCGATGACTGGACTATCTGCTACCCAACCTAGCTTTTCTTATTTTCCATGACTTTGCTATTCACACTCTTCACAAGGTCATGTGAGCTCCCATGCTATTCTCTAGGTAAGTCTGCTTTAAGAAGCCTATAATGTCTTCCTTATCCACACTCATTTAAGACTGCTTGCCTGTGGTAGAGTATTTACAAAAATGACCACCATGCTTCTCTTCCTGATATCCTCACTCTTTACGATGTGACATTGCTGCTCTGCCTATCAAGAAGTTAGCTTATTTTCCCACTCCTTGATTTTAAGCTGTGGCCTGTGACTTGCTCTGGCCAGTAGAATGTGGCAGAAGTAATGGTGCACTCATGTGGAACTGAGGCCTCAAGAGGCATGACAGGTGGGCTTCAGTTCATTCCATGGAAACACTGAGGGGATCATGTGAATAAGCTTGAGCTAGCCCATGGGTGATAAAGGATGCATGACCTCATCACCTCTGTCACCTCAGGTAAGAGCTATGGAACTGTAAGACATGTGAGGGAGGCCATCCTAGGCCAGCAGTCTTCAGCTGACCTGTCAGCTAGCCACAGATGCATGAGCAAGCCCCGCTGAGTCAGCCAAGACCAGCCAAGCCTATCCCAGAGTGGCAGAACAACCCAGCTGACCCTTAGACTCATGAGCAGTGGTAGATGGTAGTCATTTTAAGCCACTGTGTTTTGGGATGGTTTTACATGGCAATAGATAATTTATAGACTTGTTTATCCATACTCCCTTCTTAGATAAGTTACTTTTTGTGGTGATCATTTTGCAATATATACAAATGTGGAATCCTTATGTTGTAGTCCTGAAACTAATATTAATGTTATATGTCAATTATACCTCAATAAAAAATTGTATGCAAAGAAGAGAGCTTGGACAGATATATAAACAATGCTAACATAAAAAACATAAAAAAGAAGATGTGGAGTGTGAATTCAGGTGATTGAAACTCACAGAGCCAACAATGGCGCCTTTGGTAATTGCCACACCCCCAAAACCTTGGCCAATGGCTAGGAGCTATGGCACCTGCTGGGCACTATTCTATCAGGGATGCTCAGATCCCTGGGAGTGATAATGGCTCCATTCTCTCCTCCCTGAATCTTTTGACTATACAGCTAGATTAAGAGACTAAAGGGTCCAATGTTTTATTCCTGCCTTATCTGACCTCAGACTAGACCTAATTTGTAAAAGAAAAAAACAAAACTTAATTCAAGGTCAAATATCCTGAAATATTACTCATCCCTGATCACAGCGGAAAATCATCTCAAAGAGCCACTGCACTGTTCACTAATTCTGTATGGTTATTGGCCAGCCCTATATTCGAATTTGGAACACATGTTAATGTCTTCCACCCTGCAGCCCACAGGGAGTCAGTCTGGTTTCTTCCCTGCCTGGCACAATCCCATTGCCCCCTCACCCTTCAGGTCCTGCCCAGACCCCTCGGCTCTGGATGGAGAGGCTCTTCTGGTTACACATGGCACCCTGTGCTCCCCCATCAGAGTATTCAGCACACTTTTTTGGTAACAGGTTACTCCCCCTCTTCCCCCAGGAACTTAGTTTACTTGAGTTTCAGCTCTGTTTATTGCTGTATATAATCCCAGTGACATATATTCTTAGTGACACATATTCATTCATTCATTCATCCATTGTTGGATGAAAAAAATTGTCCAGAAGACATAATATAAAAAAAACCAGCCTTACCTGGAGGTCCAGAAGAAGGTGGGTGTTGAGCTGCTGATATCACCAATGATGTGGGAAGCAGGTTCTCATAGGCTGTTGGTGGATAAAAAGGAAGGTCATCAAGGAGAAGTCAGAACATTGGGAGAAGATAACAGTTGCTTCAAGGGGCCATCTGCCTCCTCCCAGGATTCACCAGGAATAACCATGACACTGCATTCTAAGGCCAGTGACATCATAGCCCCCAGATCTTCATTTAGGGCATAACATGGTATTATTCCCCATTGACAAAAGAACATGCACCACATGGCCATCAGAAAAGCAAAGCTCATGGACAATTTGCCCCATGTGGCCTGCCACAGGAGAGGCCATCAGTTGGCCATGATCTCTCTCTTTGCTGCCCTCTCCCCAGGTGTGTCATGACTTCACCTGAACAAAGCAAGGAAATTCACACAGCAGTTTCTGGAAATGGAGTGGGGGGAGGGAGGAGAGCATCAACCCTGAAACACACGACGAAACCTTTCAGGGCAAGGGAACTGTATTATATTTTCACTGCCATGGTGATTATACAGTGGCACACAATTACCAAAATCCATCAAACTGGACCTGAAAATGGGTGAGCCTTATGGTACACAAATCAAACATTAATAAAAATATGATGGGTTGATGGATGAGTAAAGAGATGATAGAAAGATCGCTAAATTTATCATGGGATCTAGGTAGGTAGGATCTCATTGTTAAATCCTTCAAACTGCTGCCTATTTGAAAATTCTCATAATAAGATGTTAGGTGGGAAAGTGTCCCTCAATTTCTAGTACAAGACCTACATCTCTGTCCTTCAACGACAACCTCTTGCTTTCCACAGTGGCATACACTTCATTCAACCAGTCCACATGGCTGCTTATCCTCTCTGTGTAGTCACTGAATGTCAAAGGCATAGAATTTTAGGGAGCGTGGAATCCCCTGTGCCTATTCTAATGACATGGGGAGTGATGGCTAAGGTCATTCATCTGGAGAGAGACCGGCCAGGATCAGATTCCTTCAGCTCAGGGCCCTTTGCACTCCCCACACAACCTCCCTTAGTCAGCATTAGACCAAACGGAGGAACTATGTGAGTGCTTGTCAGGTGCTAGGTGTCTTTGGGCATTGTCATATTCAATTCTCAATCATTCAATTCTCTGTGTTTTTCCTACTCTTGCAAAGAGAAATCCAGATGAAACGGGATCAAGAGATGATATAACTTGGCTGAGGTAACATAACTGAGGGTGATCCTATGCCATGTCTGTCCCTCCCATTAGGGTGCAGACCCAGTGACAGAAGGGAGCTGGGAGGGGTGGTTTGATCACGGCTGTGGCCCCAGTGCTTATTGGCACGGAGTAGCACATAGTTCAGTCAGTATCCACTGAATGAACAGATGAGTGAATGAATGAAGCTGGGAATCAAACCAGGATCTGACTTTAAACCTCATGATCTTTCTTATATCATGCTAGGTCTAGTAGATGATGCCAAATGTAACACGGGTTCTACCTGTAGGCTGAGCAGCTGTGGAATCAGCACCTGTGAACATGAAGAGAGATTGTGCATGTTATCATGTCTTATTCAGTGACTGTTTATTGGGAACGTCCTAGATTTAGGGAGCTGGGGGAAGCAGAGAGAGGCAGAGACGCTGCCCTTGAGAGTCTTAGCATTTCCTGGGGATTTGAGACATGAGACCAGGCAGCAAACGCTGAGTGTCCCAGGAGAGCCTCAGAAAGTAGTGCCCCGCCCCCCCCCCCCCCAGGGGCCTTAGGTGTTGAGAGGCTCAGGAAGGGCCAGGTGCAGCCTGGCAGAGCTTGTCATTTGTAGGTATATTACTCCAGCTGCCAGTGGGATGGAATCAGGAAAGATTCTGTTGTGACACAGAGTCAAATAGAAGGACACATAGGTTTGGGAAGGTCACCTGGTCTAGATGTGGAGGGCCTGGAAAATCAGCTGACAAATTTGGCCCATCACCCAGAGGTTACAAACTCAAAATCTAAAGTTTCCAAGGGCCATGGAAATAAAACAAATAAGGGATTTGAATGATGGGGACTGTGTGAACTAGAAAGCTGTTTCCTGACCAAAGGGTCAGCTCTTTCTCAGATCCAGCCAGTTAATATAATAAAATAATTTGTTGTTTTGAGCCTGAACTTCTGTTTTTATTTTTTTCACAAATGCAAGAATTTGGATTTTTATGCCAGATATTCTGATTTGGCTGAATTCAAGTTCAGTCTGCATTTTCAAACCAAACAAGCCACTTCTGAGCCTGCATCAGTGATCATGAGCCATACTCAACAATCTTTGCAGTCAAGGGGATGGTCAGGCTGATGCATAACTTTGAAAGGATGTAGACAACACCAGTTGCCTGTCTCAATCCACTGACATTTCTAGGCTGTGCTACATTGTGTGTGTGGAGGAATGAGAAGTGAGGGGATAGGAGTAGCCCTCCAAATGAGGACTGCCAGCCAGCCCCTCACCTGCGCAGATGATGCCAGCGTCCTCCAGGTGCCCACAGTTGTGCCCGGCCTCAGCTCTGTGCACGCATTGCCCAAGGTGGCTCTCACTGCCCACACATTGCACATCATCCAACAGGATCTTCCCGGACCCTGCCCCGAAGTGGGCCCCTGAGGGGGCTGCCACAGCCTGGCCACACTGCAGCTGGTGGCACACCACTGTGGCCTCAGCCAGGTCCCAGAGGTCATCACACACAGTCCCCCACCTGCCCTGGATGAGAACCTCCACTCGGCCTGAGCAACTCCCTGTGCCATTTACCAGCCTCAGGGCCATCCAGGTTCCTGGGGAGATACAGAGCAATGGGAAATTATGAGATTGGCCTTGGTGTCAGCATATTGCCTTGATCCTGTTATAGTGGTCTGATAAACTGCTGATGTCATAATTCCTCTGGGTTGGGCAGATAGAGAGCTCTATGGTCTTAGAACATCAAGGCTAGACTTTCTTCTTCCTGGAAGTGCCTGAAGGGGCTGGAAGACCCCAGGAAGCAGCAGCATCTGACTTCTAGAGGGGGAAAGCCAGAGGCCCTGGGTTCTCAGCCTTACACATGTCAACTCATCCCACCTACAGCAAAAGAACTTCAGGGAATCCTAGACCTGAGGGTCACATGGATGGGGCCCCTGTGACAGCCTTGCCTTGGTGGATAGCTGACCAGAGTCTTCTTATAGAAGTTGCCCAGTGTGGTGTAATCTGGAGATTACAGAGCACTCTTTTTAGCACTAGAGACATTTCTTTGTTGCCAGCATGGTTGTACTTTCAAACATAGAATTTTCACTTAATGTCTATTAAGGTGCAAAACTGGACAGAGTTCACTCCTCAGGATTTATAACCAGTGACATGATGGAGAAACCACACACACTGCACTATCAGGGCAAATAACAAGGACTACCTCTAGGAGTCTAATAATGCTATCAGTGATGGACACTTCATCTCTTTTGGGAGATCAGCCAAGAAATGGCTTTGAAACATGAAGACAATTTCTGCACGTTGATCACAAGGGAAGGGGGCTTGCTCCCGACAGAGTGAAGGGAAGGGCAAGTTCACATAGGAGGGAAATTTGTGGTGCTTCAACTGCAACACGATTTGAATAAATGAGCTCATTTTGTCTTCCTCAAGCACGAGAAAGTCATGCAAATGTTGTGATCTACAAGGACACAGAAAATGGGAAGGATAATGAGAGCTAATGGAAAATTTCAGAACATTCTTTTTAGAAACTAGAGAGCAGACAGAGTGGGTTTTGGGGAGATGTTTGCAGAGCATTAATTTGGGCTGTAGTGGGCTAGGCGGGGATGGCTACCCACCAGAAGTGAGCGGACTCACACCAGAGAAACCTTGCAGGTGATGTGTTTGGAGGAATAGGATGCCAACCAATGTAGGAGTGAGGTGCTGGCAAAGAAGGGGATCATGGTTAATTGTATTTTTGAAAGATGTCTACAAAATATCTCCCATTCCTCAAGCCCTTCTGGAACCTTGACTGTCCCATGTCCCAAGGAGGAGCTTCTGCATCATCCTTCCAAACCTGGGCAGGTTGTGACTTTCTTGACCAATGGAGTATGGTGCAAGTGACACTAAACATTTTTGAGCCAGGGTGAGGGAAGTGCCATGCACTCGTGTCCTGTTTCCTTCAGGGACTCATGCCTGGGACTTGGCCACCATCCTGGGAGAAAGGCCAGGCCTCATGCTGACATCTGAAAGCTACTTCTCAATGTGTTTAAGTTTCTCTGGGCCAATACTCTCACTTCAGCAAAAAGCAAATATTTGATCACAACAATGATGACGACAATTATGATAAAGTTAACATTTATATAGACTTCCTAGTGTCCAGCACTAAGTAATTGACACCATCAACTCCTTTAATGCCCACCATGGTCCTCAAACCACATCTATGTATATATATGTGTGTGTAGATGTGTTTATATAAATAATAGTGTGTACACATGCATATACACACACTCACAGATGTATTAGATACAAATATATTCTATTATTATACCCATATCGTGGACAGGGGAATTAAGGCACAAAGCAGTTGAGTAACATGCCCAAGATCACACAGTTCTGGGGAACCAGTATTTGAAATTAGGAAATTTGGTTCCACGGTCCATGCAAGAAATCTTAGTAAGATTTATTTAGTAGAAAACAAAATAAACAAAAACTGGAGAGCAATCCCAAAAAGAATCAGATAAATATTTTGTGGGTATAGAACCAAGGTAGTGGGTGAAGTTGGAGAAGGAAGCCTGCATGACAGTAAGCCTGTTAGCACTGTGTAATTGTTAGTTCATGTGCAGGAAGGAAGGGAGGGAGGAAGGTAGGAGGGAGGGAGAGAAGGCGGGGAGAGAGGAAGGAAGGAAAGAAGGAGGGAGGGAAGGGGGGAGAGAGGAAGGAAGGAAAGAAGGAAGGGAGGAAGGAAAGAAGGAAGGAAGGAAGGAAGAAAGGAAAGAAGGAGGGAGGGAAGGAAAGCAGAGAGGAAGGAAGGGAGGAAGGAAAGAAGGAAGGAGGGAGGGAGGGAGGGGGGAAGAGCCCTTTATACTGCAACATTAACTGGGCCTAATTTTACAAATGTGCCTCTGTGGGAGAGAGAAAAGATGGCAGAGGAGTAGGGGACCCTATTCCAACCAGTCCCCGAAATTGAGCTGGGTATCTACCAGACCACTCTGAACACCCACGAAGTCAGCCTGAGATGTAAGAAGATAGATTTGGATCTCTACAAACAGAATATCGCAGGTGGTTGGTTTCGAGGTATGAAATGGGGAGTTGTGATTCCGCAGGCAGATATTGGAGGATAAACGGAAGGGGGAGAGAGCCGTCAGGATCCTGCACCACCGGTGAACAATAGCCTCCCACTCTGGGGACGGGGCACAGACTCACAGACCAGTAGCAGCAGGGAAAGGACTTTAGGGCAGCCCCCCAGATGGAAACCGGAGTGGCAGGGCTGTGTGTGCAATGTGGGGGCAGCTGGCTGTTTTAGAAGCACAAAGGGCAGAGATGTGCTCTGACCTGCAGGTGAGGACTGGGAGGGAGGCTGAGGGGCGCACAATCCAGGACTGCAGTTTATAGCAGCACAGATAGAAATGGAGATAGTGTGGCTTGGAGAGCTCACTGAAGAACAGACAGCAATCTCTCTGCTCTGAGGCAGAGGGTTGGAAACGGTCTCTTCTTCTTTTTTTTTAAAAAAATTATTTATTTATTTATTTGACAGAGAGAGACAGCGAGAGAGGGGGAATGGGAGAGGGAGAAGCAGGCTTCCCGCTGAGCAAGGAGCCTGATGTGGGACTCGATCCCAGGCCCCTGGGATCATGACCTGAGCCAAAGGCAGACGCTTAACAACTGAGCCACCCAGGCGCCCTGGAAACAGTCTCTTCTGCTCTGACTCTCAGAAGAGATGCGGAAAGCCACCAGGGAAAGCCACCAGGGGACAAAATCCCCCCAAAACCGGTTTCCACTGAGCCCATCCACCGCCACAGAGGGCAGGGCAACTTTGCCCAAACGGGGTTGCCTGAGTAACAGCGTGGCAGGCCCCTCCCCCAGAAGACAGGCTGGGAAAACAAGAGGTCAGCAACCCTAAGGTCCCCATAAAACAGGTGCATCTTGCTTGGGTTGTGGTCAATAATTTGGACTCTATACATTCCCTCAACCACCCCTCAACAGAATGACTAGGAGGAGGAAACCCCAAAATAGGAGAGACTCAGAGACTATGACTTATGCCCCAGATTTACAAATGGATTCAGATATAACCAAGATGTCGGAGATGGAATTCAGCCTAGCAATTGTGAAGACAATAGCTTCACAATTTACAGAGACAATCTATAAAAACACGGTCTCCACAGGCAACATGATGACAATAAATTCATATCTTTCAATAATCACTCTTAACGTGAATGGCCTAAATGCTCCCATAAAACGGCACAGGGTTGCAGATTGGATAAAAAGACAGGACCCATCCATATGCTGTCTACAAGACTCATTTTGAACCTAAAGGTACATCCAGACTGAAAGTGAAGGGACGAAGAACCATCTTCCATGCCAGTGGACCTCAGAAGAAAGCTGGGGTAGCAATTCTTATATCAGACAAATTAGATTTTAAACTAAAGACTGTAGTTAGAGACACAGAAGGACACTATGTCATTCTTAAAGGGTCTATCCAACAAGAAGATCCAACAATTATAAATATTTACACCCCCAACATGGGAGTAGCCTTCTACATAAACCAACTGTTAACCAAAATAAAGCGTCATATTGATAACAATACATTAATTGTAGGAGACTTCAATACTCCACTCTCAGCAATAGACAGATCATCTAAGCAGAAAATCAACAAAGAAACAAGAGCTTTGAATGACACACTGGACCAGATGGACCTCATAGATATATACAGAACATTCCACCCTAAAACAACAGAATACTCATTCTTCTCAAGTGCACATGGAACTTTCTCCAGAATAGACCACTATACTGGGTCACAAATCAGGTCTCAACCGATACCAAAAGATTGAGATTATTCCCTGCATATTCTCAGACCATAATGCTTTAAAACTGGAACTCAATCATAAGAAAAAATTTGGAAGAAATTCAAACACTTAGAAGCTAAAGACCACTCTGCTCAAGAATGTTTGGGTTAACCAGGAAATCAAAGAAGAACTTAAACAATTCATGGAAGCCAATGAGAATGAAAACACATCGGTCCAAAACCTATGGGATATGGCAAAGGTGGTCCTAAGGGGGAAATACATAGCCATCCAAGCCTCACTCAAAAAAATAGAAAAATCCTGAATTCACCAACTAACTCTACACTTTGAAGAACTAGAGAAAAAATGCCTAAGCTACGCATTAGAAGAGAAATAGTAAAAAAAAAAACACTTTTAAGAAAATGAAAAGATAGGGGCTCCTGGGTGGCTCAGTCGTTAAGTGTCTGCCTTTGGCTCAGGTCATGATCCCAGGGTCCTGGGGTCAAGCCGGGCATCAGGCTCCCTGCTCAGCAGGGAGTCTGCTTCTCCCTCTCCCACTCTCCCTGCTTCTGTTCCCTCTCTCACTGGCTGTCTCTCTCTCTGTCAAAAAAATAAATAAAATCTTTTTTTTTTAATAAATAAAATCTTAAAAAAAAAAGAAAATGAAAAGATAGGTTATAGACTGAGAGAAAAATATTTGCCGAACACATATCTGAAAAAATACTTGCATCTAGTATTTTAAAATATATAATATTTGATATATAAAGACCTATCTTACAACATGATATCTCAGTAAAAAAAAAAAGATAAAAGATTTGAACACACACTTCA